GAATAGTTTTGTTTCCTTCATAACTCAGTATTCCTGTCCGTAGCACCAAAAACAGAGATAATTGATGGGTAGCGGCACAGATACTAAATCAAATAAATAATAAAGAAATAAAACATAGATCAGGCTGACTTGAGACTTAAAATACGCAACCGAATACTCAACACTTGCCAAATGTTTCAAATTGCAAATATTGAATAAGTGTGGACCGAATTTGAATGATAAAGCACCATTATATTATGACTTAAATTGACTTAATTAAAAGAATGTGGACATTAGCCTATTCCTGTACTGCAAAGTATATATACATAGAAATATTATAGATATTTTTTAGTACAGTGTAGGCTCATGTTTGCATCTGAATACAGTTTTAAAATTGATTGCATGTACAATATGCAGACGAGGCGAACCAGAGTGTTTACAAAATTAAAATAAAATAAACTAAATAAAATTTGTATCAATTTGGCCACGCACAAGCCTAATTATTATTATTATAAATATCCTCGGGTCAAATTATTCATAGAATCTTTCAGCAAGATATATGTAACCATTTATCCTCCCTGTCTGCTAGTGGCAGACTCTCGAACAGTGCTTACTGGAATGTGGGTGCAGCCCTTTTCTAACTTTGCTCTGTGTGATTGTTTGGTGAAGAAGCAACAGAATCCGATGTGACATTTGCTATCTCCAGGTGAGTGGAAGATGGCACCTTTCTCCTGTACGTAATGGATACCTGTCATTGTTTTTCAACATTACTTTTTTTTCTGTAGGAAATTGTATTTTCTGTCATTCAGTTGGGCCTTTCTTTAATAATGTATATTTTTTGTTTTTTCTAAATGATCCTTATTCCTTCACTTAATTAATGTGCCATGTTTTGTCTTTCAGTCAGAATTACTGAAAGATCACTCTAAATTTCTAGTTCTACATTTGAAGAGCAATGAGAAAATCAGTCATCACCCTGTGGGCAGCTGGGACGACTCTGTGACCTGTCTCCCTACCTGTCACTACATTATTCCTACCTGTCACTACATTTTCTGTTCCTGTGGATACATTGTTCCTGCTCGCCCTATGACACCTGCTCTCTGTCATATGAGTGAATCTGGTTCTCTTCCCTCTCAAAGTGTTTGTTATTTATTACTGTGTCATCCCCCTGTCCCCCTCCCCTCACTCACTCTCTCTCTCTTGATATACTTCCATGGATCTGGATGTTTTAGTTTTACTTAAAGAGGTTGTACTTTTTTACAATCTGTTTATTTATAATTGATATGATACCAGAAGTGTATGAAGAGTGGGTAAGTAAAGAAGGGAGGGAGACCGGTAACCGGAGACAAGAGAACTGCCTGTCTGAGAAGGGAGAGAACTGCAGATAAAGCAGTCCAGATCCCTCGTACGAGAAAAACTGAGACAGAGAGAATTTAGTGAGAGGCAGGAAAATAGGGAACTGTCACATCCCAGGACTTTGAATACTGTGTTTACTCTTCCCTGTATTTAACAAATATGTATTTGTAAGGTATGAAAAATGTAATTAAATGTAGAAGGACACACCTCTTTATCCTGCAACAGGACGTCTCTATCTAAGCTCCTTATCAAACATTGTTATAAACTTTGACCTCAGAACCTGGCAGTCAGAAAAAGAAAATGCTAATTTGCATAATTAAAGGGACACTGTAGTCACAACAAAACAACTTGAGTTTAATGAAACAGTTTTGTGGTATAGATCTTGCTCCTGCAGTCTCACTGCTCAATTCACATCTATTTAGGAGTAAAATCACTTCTAAAAACAAATATGAATACCGCACTCAAAAATGATTCTTGTGAAATCTAAACTGTATTGAATTGCAAAAATATTTATTATAGTAGTAATTCATAAGTTAATCAAGTAAACCTTAGTGAAATTCATTCCAATCATATATATACATCGATTATTTACATATATACACACAAAAAACCTCCCTGTGCTGAATTTCATGAACTATATATCTATATACACTGGTTGTAGATCCAAAAAATACATGAAAATAAAATGTCCAGAAAAATATAAAAAAATTTTAGCAAAAAAGGGAAAAAAGGCAGAAAAAAAGAAAAAAGGAAAAAAGAAAAAAGAAAAAAGGAGAAAAAGAAAAAATGAATGAAAAAATGTATATATATTCTAGTCCTATTAATAGTCCAAAATATAGTGCACTATATAATTCATATAATTCATGAATATATGGATGGATCTCACGTGAACTTGATAGTATATTCAGTAAGAGGGTGGTAGATCTTGTAGATGCTGTATATTGAGTCCGGGTGAAAATGAGTTGTAGCTCAATGAGAAAGTAATCACTCGTCCCTTTTGTAGTATCTGGTCAGTCTAGTAGGTCTTTTCCTGGGTTCAAAATCATGGGCAGTCCTGTGAATCGGGCTGAAATGGGCTGCGCGCTCGGGACGTTCCTGTCCCTTCAAAGGCCCCTGTTCCTCTCTGTAAAATCACTTCTGTTTCTGTTAACACAGCTCTAGTCACACATCTTTTGACTGTGACTGACACAGACTGCATGAAAAAAAATGGTTTCAAATTCAAACAAATGTAGCTTACTTTAAAAGTACTAATTCGTGCTCTGTAAATTTAACTTAAGTTACATACAGGAGGTTCCTGCAGGGTCTAGTAAGCTATTAACAGAGCAGGAGATAAGAAATTCCAAATTAAACAGAATTTGCAATAAAGGAAGTGTAAGCATTAGATGATTCTTTACAGGAAGTAAAGAATCCCGGGAGGGATGACTACGGCTGCATAAACAAAGTGATTTAACGTCCAATGGCACAGAACTAAGCAGACTGCAGGGAAATGATCTATACCATTTTTCAACAATGTGGCATAAAGGGAAAATTATGTAAATAAAAAAAAAAGAAAGAAAAACAACCCTACTTAGAGTTTGATTGCTCTGCAGTTTGGGGAGATTGAACTGCTGTTCTGAGTGCTCAGTATATGGACACAGCAGCAGGCTGTCTGCATTACACCCCTGACTGCATAATAGACAATATATACAAATACACCGGGGGTTTATTCACTAAACAACAAATTGTAATTAATTACAATATGAATGGAAAACTAGTGTCAAATAGCTAAGTTGAGCCTAAGTGGAATTGGAGAATTGTATAAATTTAATTAAGTTTGTGTATAATTTATAATTAATATTTAAATTCACTACAATTTACAGTTTAATGAATAAACCTCTGTAGTTTATTCCGCAAACTGAAGAATTTAGTGCAGTGATTAGAAAACCAAACTACAAGTTAAGGTCAAAGTAGTGGATTTTGAAAAAATCTCCAGTTCTGCTACAGTCCCAGTATGGCTATTTATGGCTTTTGCAATTTGTTTTTGATGTATTGTGTTAATGCATTTCTGTATTTAAACATGTAGGGGTGAATTTTACAATGTATATTATACACTACAGACACATGATGCACGTCAGTTTACCAAAGTGCTTTATATGTCTGGATTTGTCTCCTCCTTTATCAAGCTCCATCTGTCTCTCTGCTCTTTTGACAACCCCAATAGGCCTCTCTCTTCCACTGTCAACCCCAGTCTGTCTCTCTCCTACTATCTGATCCAGCATCTGTTTCTGTCCACCTGTCCAAAACCCCATATGTGTGTATACACCTGCCCAAACCTCCACCTGTCTCTTTCCACCTGTCCAAACCCCCATCTGTCTCTCTCCACCTGTCCAAACCCCCATCTGTGTCTCTCCTCTTGTACAAACACCCATCTATATCTCTCAACAAGTTAACCTTCTCTTAGTCTCTCCTCCTGTAAAACCCCATCTTGGTCACTCCTCCTGTAAACCCCCATCTGTGTCCCTCCTCCTCTTAATCTCCATCAGCATCTCTCCTCCTGGTAATCGTCATCTGTGTCTCTCCTCCCGTAAAACCTCATCTGTGTATCTCCACATGTAAACCCCATCTGTGACCCTCCACATGTTAACACCAATATGTGTCTCTCCACATTTTAACCCCATTCTGTGTCTCTTCCCATTTAACCCCCATCTGTGTCTCTCTTCCTGTAAAACCTCATCCGTGTATCTCCACATGTTAACCCCATCTGTGTCTCTCCAAATGTTAACCCCAATCTGTGTGTCTCCACATTTTAACATTATCTGTGTAAGTTGAAATGTTAACCCACTTCTGTGTCTCTCAATATTTTAACCCCATCTGTGTCTCTACAAATGTTCTACCCCATATGTGTCTCTCGAGGGGTCAAGTCCTGGGAAAAAAAGTGTGGGAACTCACCCAAGATCCATATATATATTTCGCAGAAAATTCAGTGCAACATTTATTGTAAAGTGCCAGTTTACACAAACAACTGCAAAATTCACATGCAATAAACAAATATATATAGAACAGTTGAAACAAATTAAATTAGCTATGCAATAAACAAATGAATATAGAACAGTTCTAACAACTGTGATAAAGTGAATGGTGTTGTTTGTGAGGGAGTTAACTTGTAAGTCATACTAACAGAATAATCACCACAATGGGTGATCTTTCCCTCGCAGGGAATTTCTAAAACAAATAGTGTATAAAAACTAAACACACAGCCCATTAGAAAATATCCCACAAACTGGAATAATGTTGCCCTTGCCGTGCAAGATTATCAACTTTTCGAGATTTAGTATCATCTGCGCTGCAATGTGTGGTCAGCCATTTTGTGATGCATGGTAAAGGATCCCATAAATGCACAGGAGGCCCAATGAGACTAATAAACAAAAGAGAAGGCAGGCGTTCAATGCCAAGCCCACTCCTAATGGGTGACATCACCAAATTCATTGTACTGAAGCCCCTTTCACAATCACCGGATGGCACTGGAAGACTGTTAACTGCTGTCACCACTGGTTTTAGATTTTCAGGAATCTCTGCACCACCATTATCAATGTAGTCTCTGAAACCTTCACAGATGGATGCATAGCTGAGACGGAATCTTTTGCACAGCTGCTCCAGCTTCACTTCACCTTCAAACCACAGACTGTCCACATTGATTGGCCAGCATTGTGAATTCAGGATGTCAATTTCAGAGACAAGAGTTTCAAATTCACTGTGATGAAGCTGCAGGTCTGTTGCTCGCAGTTAAAGCAAAGAGTTTGGAGCGTAAATTATCCACCAAACTTTGATAAAATTGAGGGAGATTTATCCTCACTTGGCCTTTTGTACTCTCTGGATTGATGGTCACACGTTTGACATTCCCTTTCTCCAGCGATTCCATGACTTCTTTCAGATGTTTGCCAGGCATGTCTTTTATTTTTTCAACGGCACGAACTGAACGATGAATCAGCTGATAAGCTTGTGGAAGTGTGATGTCATCTCTTTGCAGAGCTTCAGATAACAGTCCCATTTCCTGAACAGCATCCGCAACCCCTGCAAGGTTTAACAAATCTACTGATGTCAAGACCTTGTTAACAGGGCTGCCATCAGAAATTTTGGGGCCCCTGACACAGCTCAAGGTCTGGGCCCCCCGGTGCCTGCACCCGAGTCCGCCCAAAGTGCTGCCCCCCCCCCCGAATCCGCCCACAGGGATGCAGTGTCTACAGGGCCGGTGCAAGGATTTTTGCCGCCCTAGGCAAAAGTAAAGTTTGCCGCCCCTCCCCCATGTGACATCACAATGCCCCACCCATATGATCTGCCATGTTAACTAACACCAGTGCTGCAGTGCCGCCGTGTTTACATTAAAAGGCCTGCAGGGACAGGCTAGACACCAGAACCACTACATTAAGCTGCAGTGGTTCTGGGGACTATAGTGTCCCTTTAATGTGAGGTAAATTAGAGATTAGTGCCACGAATAATATACTAGATTGCCTACTTACAACCAGATGAGGATGATGATGGGCTCTAGCTGCCGTCTGGTTCCACTGGTCTGGTGTACAATAGGCTCTCTGGAGGCGGTTTGTAACTGGTCACAAAAATCACTGTTCTGGGAGAACGGGAAGCAGCTCCATTTTTTTGAGGGCCCTTTACACAGCTCACTGTCTGGGTCCCAGGGTCCACCTTCATGTTCCACCAATGAGTTTGTTCACAGGGAGTGGAGTGTGTGTGTGGGGGGATGTCCTGATGTGTGTAAGGAATGCATTGTGTGAATCTGTGTTTGTATGTGTAAGGGCTGCAAGATGAGTTTGTGTATGTATGGGATGCAGTGTGTGCGTCTGTAAGGGATGCATTGAGTGTGTGTAAGGGGTGCATTGTGTGTTGCTGTGTGTAAGGGATGCATTGCTTGTGTACGTGTATCTGTGTGTAATGCATTGTGTGTTTTTCTGTGTGCAAGGGGTGCATTGTGTGTGATGGATGTCAATCTCTCCCCCTCCCCCCCAATTTCCTTCTCCCCCCTCTCCCTCCAATTTCCTTCTTCCCCCCTCCAATTTCCTTCCTCTCCCCCCGTCCCTCAAATTTCCTTCCTCTCTCCCCTCCCCCTCAAATTTCATTCCTCTCCCTCCCTTTCATTCCTTCCTTCCCAATTTCCTCATTCCTTCCCTTCCCCTCTCCCATTTCATTCCTTCCCTTCCCCTCCTATTTCATTCCCTTCCTCCTTCCCCCCTCCCATTTCATTCCTTCCTCCCCACCCCTACTCTCATTCCTTCCCCTTCCCTCCCATTTCATTCCCTTCCCTTCCCCATTTCATTCTTTCCCTTCCCCCATTTCATTCCTTCCCTTTCTTCCCCCATTCTCATTCTTTCCCTTCCCTCCATACTTTCTCCTTCCCTCTCCCCCATTTCATTCTTTTCTCCTTACTCCCCATTTCATTCTTTTCCCCTACCATTCCTTCCCATTTCATTCTTTCTCCTTCCCACCCCATTTCATTCCTAACCCTCCCCCCCTCCCTCGAATTTCATTCCTCCTACCCCCTCCTGACACTGGCGGCGGGCGGGCAGGCCGGCGCGCGAGGGAGCACTCTGTGTGCTTCCTCTTCAGCTCCCTCGCGCGCCGCGTACTGATGCCGGAGCCGGAAGATGACGTCATCTTCCGGCTCCGGCATCAGTACGGTGCGCGAGGGGGCTGAAGAGGAAGCACACAGAGAGTGCTCCCTCGTGCGCCGGCCGTCTGTCAGGGCCAGCCTCTGGGGGGGCCCTGAAGTGACCGGCTGCTGGGCCCCCCAGGAGAAGAGGCTGGCCCTGTGGGTACATACCGGGTCGCAGGGCCCCCTGCGACCCGGTATGTACCCACTGAATGTGGGGCCCGGACGACCTGAGCAGTCCGGGCCCCCCAGGACCGCCGGGCCCATGACAACCGTTACGGTTGTCATGCCCTGATGGCGGCCCTGCTTGTTAAGGCCACTAAATACAGATTTCTGCTTACAGTTATGAGCTGAGCTTAAGCTTGCTTTCAAGAAATGACTGAGTAGGGCAGGATATGACTTCCAAGCTGCTCGTATAGCTCTCTGGCTTGAAGCAACCCATCTAACTGAAAAAACTTTTCCAATTTTAAGAATTTGTACTTCTAATTATTTTGCACATTCTGAGAGCTCTGCCAGATTTTTTAGTGACTGATGATACACAGCATAAGACTTCTCGAAAAATGATGTTACATGATGAAGACCAGCAATAGAATCAATTGTATCTGAAATGCACAATTCAAGCCTATGACACAAGCAGTGCCATTTGACAATCTATGGATATTTTTGTCTGAGTCGTTCCAGAACACCCGACTTTCTTCCAAGCATTATGTGACGAGACCAATCTCACCACATTGCATTGGAGAAGCCTGGTTGCTCGCCTGTTGCCTTTGGATTATGGCCCCATGTTAAAAGCCTTCTTTTCCCCTGCAGAAAAGGCTTATTCGTGCCTTTCTGCCCGGCGGTCGGTAGATTCACTCTACCGAACTAACGCACGAATGACTGGACCACCTGGAAGCTGGAGTGTGTCGGCAATTAACTTCCCAGAAGCTGCGGTTAACCGCAGTTTAATTGACAAATGCTGGGTGGCCGCCATTCGTATACCGAACACGAGGTCGCGGCCATTTTAAACACGCGAACGCACAGTGGTGTTCGACGCCCAACTCATGCAACTGAAAACGGACACTTATTTGCGCGAACACTGCTGAGCCGTGAGCCTCCTTGCTTCTGCATTCGGTAGTTTAAACCGTATGAACAGCATTACCCCAGATAGCCATCCCATGGAGTCTTTTCGTATGGAAAACAGACTTTGTGAACACTTTAACTCCACGGCGATTGGACTGTGTGCATAGGATCGCTATTCGATACTTTTGTGCGCTCAGATCTAAGCTATCTGGGGATAGGTAGAATGTATATGTTTTGTGCAATAGTTATAATTTTATAAATTTTTATGTCTTTTACTGTCTTTTACTGCCATGTGGTTAATGGAGTTTTGCCTCTGTCCTGGGAGATAATTGGATTACTTCCCAATTATCTCAAGGACAGAGGGAGGGAAGTTAGGATGCATTGTGGGGATGTTTTATCTCTGTGTGTCTGTCATTGGTTCATGTCTGTCCTTTGTCACAGTCTCCCATTTGGTCCCCTAGGGGAGTGTCCTGCATAAATACTGGGCAGGTAGCCCTCATTAAACCAGACCACTGCTTGACCCTCAACACGGAGCTCTGTCTCGTTCTTGGGGGGGATTTACTGTATGCTGATAGAGACTGATTGCTATGAGTGTAAGCTGCTTGGGTGCTTTTCCTATTCGTCTGCTAGCAGCTATTCGTGAGGTTCCAGTTTGGGAGTTTGGAGTGCTATTTTGTATGCAGTTCAGGAGCATTCCCTTACAGGCGGTTCTGGAGTTTGGTGTTCTGCAGTAGCTGTGCCTGTATGTCTGGAAAGGGAAGATCTACTAAATGGCGGTTTAACCCTTTTATGCTGAGGGTGCCGTTACACATTACACTTGCACCATCACTGCAAGCCCCAATCCAGTTCTCGGCAAGAAAGTCATTACTGAACCCAAATTTAGAAAGACAAGCTAGAAGAGTGGCTTCAATACACTGTGCATCTGCTTTAGGCAAATCAAGCAAATCGAGAAAGAAAGTGACTGGGTCTTTTCCGTAAACAGAGGCACGAATATAAACTATTAACACTGAATGGGTAGAAACTGGGTGCTTTTTTTTAAATTCTAGCCACTGATTCTGATCCCAACATTCTGGAAGAATGTTATCACTGACATCAGCATCTTCAGCCACATCAGTAACCATGTCCACTACAGCCGATTCACTGACTAGGGTAGTTTCTGCAGCAGACACCACCTGCTGAAGCAAAGGCTCAGACTGAGTGGAGCAACTTGCAGAATCATGTGATTTTTTAATTGGATGCCTTCTTGAAGAAATCCGTAATGCTGCTTTTTCGTTTGCTCCTTTCTGTACAAATAAATTACACAAATTAAAATACACTTAGAATCAAAATTCTGATCAAAATTACTCTACACAAATATGAGTGTTTTGGATTAGTAAAAGGTATAAAACTGATGATATCATCGGTGAAAGGGCAGTTTATTTGTGAAAAATGCAAAAACACTGATATAAACAATAACTTTGGCCAGGGATAACTTTGTTATTGATATAAACAATAACTTTGGCCAGGGAAGTTGCTACTAAAAAATACTGGACATACCCCATTTTGAATACCCTGGATTGTCTACTTTTTCAAATGATATGCCATGGGGGAGTTAATTTTCATTTCTGGGCTGCCATACCCTCTCAAAGGCAACATAGCCAATCTGGCAAATTTCAATTTGCAAAAACAGAAACGGGCAAATCTTATATTTGACCCTGTAACTTTCCAAAACACCATCAAATCTGTACATGAGGGGTACTGTTGTTGTGAGGCATTACTCTACACAAATATGAGTGTTTTGGATTAGTAAAAGGTATAATACTGATGATATCATCAGTGAAATGGCAGTTGATTTGTTTAATCTTTTCACATAATTACTGGTAAGTCCTTTTTATTAATTATAATTTGAGGGACCAGCTTGACAACCAAGGCAGCAAGCACAGAAAATGTAATTTGCAAGTCCTATGTGTATCCCTGTAACTTTCCAAAACACCATAAAACCTGGACATCGGGGGCACTATTGTACTTGGGAGACTTCGCAGAACACAAATATGAGTTTTTCAAAACAGTAAAACGTATAACGACGATAATATCACCAGTAAAAATGCAGTTTTCGTGTAAAAAATGCAAAAAACAAATATGAACGCTAACTTTGGCCAGCGTTTGTGACTGTCTACTAAATAAGACTGGACATACCCCATTTTGAATACCCTGGGTTGTCTTCTTTTACAAATGGTATGCCATGATGTGGTTATTTGTCATTCCTGGGCTATCATACAGTCTCAAAGGCAACATAGGCCCAGCAAATCAATCTGGCAAATTTAAATGTGCAGACATGGAAAGGGGATAATGCAATATTTGACCACTGTAAGTTTTCAAGAACTCATAAAACCTGTACATGGGGGGTACTGTTGTACTCCTGAGACATTGCTGAATACAAATATGTGTATTTTATTGCAGAAAAAACAAACAGTATTATGTAGGGATGTAGGGATTATCCCCTTCACTACTTCTAGTTTGTTTTACAAAGGGTCTTGAGGGATTCCCTTTTTTGGGTTGCTGCTCATATGTCTGTTATTTAGCGCTGACTCTTCCCCCCATGTTCTTATTATGTAGGGTTGTGCATGGGAAAAATATTCAGTTCAGCATTCCGAAATTCGGCACTTCGGTTCGGCATTCCGAAATTCGTCATTTCGACATTTCGGAACTTTGGCACTTCAGAACTTCGGGACTTCAGGACTTCCGGTTATGGGTAGGGTTAGAGGTAGGATTAGGGGTAGGGTTAGGGTACAAGGAGGTAGGGTAGAGAACAAGGAGGTCCTTACCACACGGTTCTGGATATCAGAGGTTGATCCAGGGTGGGAGGAAGACGGCGAGATTCCAGCTAAGCTACGGTGGTTGTGGAGTCTGTAGTGCTTATGGTGTCTGGAGGAGTGCTCGGATTCCTCGGTGATCACTGGGAGCATCTGTCGGGGGAGGTACCCAACTGGGGTACAGGAAGCTCCGTCACAGTAACCCTAAATGTTATAAGAAGCACTCATTAGCTCTATCTGAATTTCATAGATTGGGAGTGGATGTTATTTTCATTCAAGAAACCCACTTTCATGTTGACACAGCAGCTTTTCTCAAATGCTGTAGCTAAATTGGCTATTTTAGCAATTTTACTTGTTCAAATTCACGGCGTGTGGCCATACTGGTTGCAGCTAATCAATGATTTGTATTCAAAACTCTACTGACAAACAGTGAAGAAATTGTGTGTAGTCTAGGTAGTAACACTAGGGTTACATTTGCAAATTTGTACTTGCCAAACAAGAAACAGTGCTTAGGTTTTTGTAAAATTCTCTGTAAACGTGAACATTTCACGGAGGGTATACTTTTTTTAGTGTCGGATTGTAATATCTCTCAGGATGCTTCACTCAATACCTCTCCCTTAGCCTATAATTAGCATCTAGATGTAAAAGATTAAACTTAGTACAGATCTGTATGTATGGTTTACTTCTGCTAATTTTACAATAATGGTATTACTGCTCTAATTTATTCTTCAGTGATGTACAAAAGAATTGGCAATAACTGACTACTCTTGTAGATTAACATAAAGTTAACATAATTCCCAGGCTGGCCCTTTCAGGGCTCAATGTGAGGAGAGGGTTCCGAGACCGGCAGGGTGATCAATGATCTCTCTCACCCACCAGCTCTCTGTTCCGCCGGGAAACATGAGGGGAACTGCTCCTTGAAGTGATCTCAGCATTGCCATGGATTACCATGGCAAAGCTCTGATACTTTTGCAACAGACCACCAGGAATCTTCGCTCCACCCTGCCCTCCCTTGCAGACATGTCTGTGTGTAAGCTCTTTGGCATAGACACAGTCTTTTAACTCTGTCACAAGAGTGTTCTCTGTCCCACTTATGGGGAAACCATATACAAGTCACCAGCAAACACAGAAGAAGTGTATCAATAAAATAGATTGCATTATATGAAACACAGGACATTTTTGCCCATATGAGAGCTCTTCATCAGGGCTCTGCAAATGGGCTGCTCTGGAGAGAAATCAACCTAACATGCCATCTTAACTATCTATAAATGTTTGAGTTGCTCCATAGTGATCAATCAATCATACATAATTAGTATGGAATATTATTGTCACACACCATCCCGGAGAAGACACACTCTCCCAGAGCTCCTGCATAACTCACCTCAATCCGACACAATCGGGGGCATCCCGCATCAATTTTGGCCACACACTTTGCCACAGACTCTGGAGTATCCTACTGTTACCTCCGATGCCGTTTTCCTGACACCCGGCTGCAAAACTCGACACCGGGCAGCAAGGCCTACTGGGCGGGAGGGCAGCAACGGGCCATAGCTGGAGAACACTGCCCCTGGAATATACCAGACCTGGACGATTGGCACCACTACACACAAAGTTCAGATGAGATGGGACGCAGGTCTCAAAAAATGCTGCCGCATACCCCGAAACTGCCAAATGCTACAGGCACCAGGCGCAGTGCGGACCCCCACCCCCTGCGATGCCTCTCCACTGCCCTCAGAGGTAGGGAAACCACAGGACAGCCCTCCCCAAATCCCCAACACCCTGCACGCACACGGAAAGCAGAAGCCAGCACCCCAGCCTCAAAACAAGATATACAGGCAATGCTGACAGGCCTGCAACAGAACCTAAGACAAATGTGGGATGCAGATCTGGCAGTACTAAAAGTAGATATGCACGCAGTGACTGCACGCACTCGGGCGATAGAGGAGGACATTCAGGGACTGAGGAAGAGCTTCCAAGACCTGGGGGAGAAGGTACAACAACTACAATCCTCACAAGTGACTATATCCAGACAAGTTATTCTTCTGGACGATAGAGGGAGATGCAAAAACGCCGCTGGAAGAACTGCCACACTTCATCAGGCACCTAGTGGCTGCACTCCTATCGACCACACAAGCCAAAATATTTCAGTTCGACAGAGTGTACAGGATAGCCAAATCCCCACAAGCACCTAACACTGCTCTGCGAGACATCATACTAGGATGCCAATCAATGTCTGACAAATTGGGGCTAATGGCAGCAATACAAGGACAGTGACATAGAAATTGCATTTTGGCTTGCTCAGAAGCCCCTATACAACGGTATAAGCTAAGCACTTTTCACCCCATGGTAGTACCCAGAGGTGGGGTTGCTCCGAGGCTATATGTCACCGTCCGTCACGGTTTTTACCATATATATGCCAAGTTTTTATAGGCACTGTTATGTGTGCCCTCTCATCTATCCTTTGCACCACCAGTGTATTTTCAAACCCTCAAGTGCAAGGCTATCGGGCTGCTGCCGTCTTTTGCCTGTCTACCCTCCCGACTACTAGGTTCAGCCCCCTCCTGCTGCACTCCCCCATTTCGCCTCCGTCTGGTGCATGTTGAGTATGCTGCTGGCACTCTCTACTAGGCCAAATCCCCCGAGAGGGGATTAGAGAAACAAGAAGAAAAAGAAACAGAATAGGAAAGAGAGAGGAGTCCTTAGGCGGCCCTGGGCACCAGCCCGGGAGGCCGAGGGGCGGAGGGGGAGAGGCCGGGGAGCAGGGGTCCCATTGCGCTAAAAAAACGCCCCTCCCTCCCCTTTGGAACCTACCCCACCATCCCACTACACCCTACCCCACGTCCACCTCGGCCTATTTCCTAGGTCGCGCCCCTCCCTCCACCATCTCCCCACCGGCAGGGCCGGATTAACATAGGGGGTGATGGAGCTGCAGCTCCAGGCCCAGGCCCATGGAATAGGCCCATTGATTTAAAAAAAACAAAAAAAAACCTTTATTTTATTTTTTTTAACATTTTTTTTTTTTTCACACACTACTCTTAGAGATTCCACCTGGCTTTTATTTTATTGGCACAGCCAGTATTTGAGGCTGCCTGGCTGGTGCAAATATTGCAGTGATACTGGAAATACAAATGCTGGTATTTTTCTCAGTATAAAGAGATTACTATGCAATACCAGCACTGGTCAGTAGGGGTCGCTGTGTGTGGAGAGAGGCAGGGATAGGAAGTTCCAGCATATCCCTCCCTGCCTATCTATACTTACTGATCTGTAGGGGTGCAGCTACAGAGAGTCCAGACAGCAACTCCCATCCTGCAGAGACAGCCTACAGCTCAGGGAAGTAAGGGATGGGGTGAAAGGCTGCAAGGAGACATACACTGAGAAACTAAGGGACACTGGGAGACATTATGGCAGACACTGAGACACTAAGGGACATGGGAGACATTATGACACAGACACATGGGGACACAGTGCCCCCAGTCTGCCAGTGTCTCACTGTCCCCATGTCTCCTAGTGCCTCCATGTCTCTTAGTGCCTCAAGTGTCACAATGTCCCCAAGCTAGTGTCCCTACTGTCTGTGGCCCTGGTGTCTCCCAGTGCCCCCATGTCTCAATGTCCCCATAGTCCCCCAGCCAGTGTCTCTAGTGTCTTTGTCCCTGGTGTCTGTGTCCCCATGTCTTCAAGTGTCCCCTATTTTCCCATTGTCCCCATGTGTCCCAGTGTCACTGGTGTCTCCGTGTCCCTAGGTCTCCCCGTGTCCCCAGATCTCCCAGTCTTCCTAGTGTCCTAGTGACATGGGGACCCTGGGATACATGGGGCATTGAGACACTGATACATAGGATCCTGGGACACGACACTATGGGACACTGGGAGACATGGGGCACTGAGACATTGATACATAGGAACACTGAGACCTGGAGTAATCAACACATGGGGGCACTGAGTCATGAGGGCACTGGGAGACATGGGGGCACTGGGATGAATCCATCTGTACAGCAGTTTTAAACAAAGTAGTTTTTTGGTGATTTTACAGCATTTTCTCTTATGTTACTCCTTGTGATTTAAATCATGTGATGTCACCCACACATATTTAATTATGCAAATTAGTAAGGCTGGTATGTTTTTCCAAGAAAGGTGGCAACCCTAACTACTTTTCACATACTCTTACTTAAGTATGGAAACTGAAGAGGGATGTATGGGAACAAAACTTGTGTGGACTGGCTGACAATGAATATAGTTAAAGGGACACTATAGTCACCAGAACAACTACAGCTTATTGAATTTGTTCTGGTGAGTAGAATCATTACCTTCAGGCTTTATGCTGTAAACACTGCCTTTTCAGAGAAAATGCGGTCTTTACTTTACATCCTAGTGATAACTTCACTGGCCACTCCTCAGATAGCTGTTGGAGATCCTTCCTGGGTCATGGCTGCCTAAAATGCATCCAGACATTCAGTATCTCCTCCCTCTGCACGCAGACACTGAACTTTCCTCATAGAGATTAATTAAATTAATCTATATAAGGAGAGGCTGATTGGCCAGGGCTGTGTTTGAATCATGCTGGCTCTGACCCTGATCTGCCTCTTTGTCAATCACAGCCAATCCTATGGGGAAGCACTGTTATTAGATCAGGCCACCACTTCTAATGATGTCAGCAGTCTGCTTGTTTTTATGAGTCTAACAGCATGCAGAGTTACAGCTTCAGGCTTGAATATAGTAGGATTTTTCTATATTTATGGAGGCACGAGGGGCCCAGGGGGGCTAGATGGTGGTGTTAACACTATAGGGTCATGAATTCATGTTTGTGTTCCTGACCCTATAGTGATCCTTTAAGGTAATGCTGACTTTGGTCTCTCTAACACTGTGGCATGTTCCCTTTCTTCTACACTCACTACATACAGCTTTTCTCTGTCCCAGACCATATACCAGGAGCTTCTGCCTGCTAGTAAGAAGGTAAGGAGACAAGTGGACCAGCGAGTGCTAGGGGACAGTCCTTAGAAAGCGTTGAGCGAGCGCATCATTAGATGCATTTATGCCAAGCTCAGGGTGCTGTCTGCATAGTATGCCCTTAGTTGGCCAGCTGCATGATTTGCAGGCAGCCTGACATGCATTCATGCCAGGCTGGCCTTCTAATTCTTTGAGCAGACATGTCCTCTTTTTGGGCATGTTCGCCCCTTTTGGCAGGTTATTTGATTTGTGTCAGTGGCACACCCTTTTACCATGCCCATTGACTTCCTGCTTGACTGGACACTGCTGTTAGGGGTTATGGATTTACTTGAAAGATGAAAACATAAATTAGAGAGAGATTAGCCTAGGGTATTGTTTTCTTATAGCTGCTGTTTTCTTTCTCTCCAGCACCATCTCCATCAGATACATGATGCTTGGGAGTGTTTTACTGTTTTTGGTCGATATGATTCTGTAATTAGGCCCATCATAATTGTCAGCACCAGGCCCACTGGTCTCTTAATCTGGCCCTACCCACCGGGACCCATCCCACGGCTCCCACACCCGTTGAAAGGTCCTAGAGGTGCCACTGACCCTAGCCGTAAGGTCGTCCATCATCCGCATGTCTTTAATCCTATCACACTCATAATCTGCGGTAATTCCTGGGAAAGACTCCTTTTGAGTTCGAAGAATGCCGGCTCTCCTTCTTTCAGGGCGTAAGTAGGGCCACACTGCTATGGCGCAAAAGTATGCATCCAATCACTAAACAACTCCAAGTAGCAGGCATTGCCTACAGGTGGTCGACCCCAGGGACCCTCTGGATCACCAAAGATGACAAGCACTATGAGGCCACTGACCATACGGAGGACCCAGCATTGATGACTGCACTAGGACTCCCGAACCTCGAATCGACTTCGACGACACATCCAGGCTACCGATCGGGAACGGCAGGCGCAGAAACAGCCGCAGCACCCGGAACAAGCAGGGGCACCAAGACCTGAACTTTTTCTGCCCATAGCCTCTTAAGTTTCAGTTTAATATTTATGTGTTGTTAAAATTTTGTTCCTATAATTTACTTTTCATTTACTTGTAGTTATAACTTACGAAGTAACACCCAAACAACGGTTCTTGCAATGCAGTGAGAAAAAGGGCCCAAGGGAGTTACCTTTTACTGTTCCGGTGACACCCCCTCCCTCCCTGGGATTTCAGGGAACTGACAGCAATGACAGCCTTATAATCTTGACTAGCATCAAGCTTTCCGCCATGTCTACTAACACTATCCTGAAGGCCTATAGGCACAGCATTCACACCACAACGGCTTCCACATACCAAGACTCACACTTTCCATAGTTTCAAAACTAAGTTGCGCCCACACAGTCGCCTCTGTGCCTATATAACAACTCGAGACTCACAGTGCACCACAAATATTGGTGATAGCCAGGTGGCCACAGTTAGGAATTAACATGGGAGCGGGCCTAGTTTAAGATGGGGAATTCACAAAGAAATACCGCAACCACCACAACCCACTCCCTGTCCATACACTAGGGGCCACAGGGCGCACCATACATCATTAGCCTTAAGAGGCAAGACCGGGGAGCAGATATCATAGAAGACTTAGCCGAAACTGCCCACTCCCCTCCACTCGTGACCCCACGATGTCTGTGGTGACCTCAGTGGACGGGTGTCTTTCACCTCCACAGTTTTACCTGTTAATTACCTCATTATAACATTACGACCCACTATAATTATAAAATGTGTGCGAACTGAACCTTACCATGCTGTGTACTTAATGTGAACTGATTTTGATTGGCGTGTACTGGTTGTTGTGGTCATACACGTGTGTTTTTTTTCTCTCCACACAAAAAATAAAAGGAGTACTGCACTATATCCTTATACGGGGATTATAACGCTCAGGCGCATAAGTTGGAGCTGAACTAAAGCTCCATAAAAGTGTGAATGCACATTTTTCGCTTTATTTATACTTTACAAAATAGTTTTAATATACTACACTTTTAGATTCTTCTGTTTTTTCTTCTTGTTGTTACATATACCCTTGTAAGGACTAGTATCTAGGCGCTGCACCTACCACCTGTTTTACCCAGCTTTTTATTGGATAAGAGAGACTTTGTACTTGGTGATTGAGCTGCCATTGGACTGGTACCATTTTATACAAGCACTGAATTATGTTCTTGTTCTTTTCTGATTTAACCCCTTAAGGACACATGACATGTGTGACATGTCATGATTCTCTTTTATTCCAGAAGTTTGGTCCTTAAGGGGTTAAGGAGTTATCTACTAAATAACTGAAAGATGAAAGTTAAGAAAAATTTGTGGAATAGCCATATTTTAGGATACCAAATTAGGAAGCTATCTACTAAACAAATACATATTTGCATGCACACACAATCATACACAGCAGTGGTTCCCACCCCTTTTCACTTGTGTACCCGGTGGCAGCCATTTCCATGAATTGTACCCCTCATATTAGCAGAAACACCCACAGCACCCAGAACAAGCAGGGGCACCAAGACCTGAACGAACTTGCTCTGTCCATAGCTTCTTAAGTTTCAGGTTAATATTGTTCCATAATTAAAGGAACACTATGTCAGGAATATTAACACGTATTCCTGACACTACAGTTTTGAAATCACCGTTTAGGATCCCAGATCCCTCACTATACTTTAAAAAGGTGTAAAACTTAAATTATTTTCCAGCACCTATTTCTCACAGCTGGACCCGCCCCATCTCTGCCTCCCTAGGAAAGCATTGGTAGGCTATTGCACTTGCGAGGCTTCATAAAAATGTATTGAATCTATGCATCTCTATGAGGAACGTCCAGCGTTTCCATGCAGAGCATGGAGACGCTGAATGTCAGTGCTGCACATTGTGTGAGTTGCTGCCACTAGAGGTGTTCCTAGAGGTGTTCCTTTTCTCTGAAAAGGCAGTGCTTACATTAAAAAGCATGCGGGGACTGACTATACACACCAGAACAACTACATTAAACTGTAATTGTTCTGGTAATTATAGTGCATCTGCATGTGTGTTAGTGTATTTGAATCGCCATGTTTGTCATGCATGACCTCTTCAGCTACTGTCTCTACAGTTGTCAGGAATTAATGGTTTGCAAAAATCGACTTTCACATTGTATGCTTATGTAGACAATTTATCTGATTAAGAATCTTTATTGCATTAGTCCCACTTGAGACCACATATTGAAGTGAGGTAATCATTCCTGTGCTTCCAAATTGAGCTGCCTTCCACCAGTGTCCCAATTCGTGTATGCTGGATGTTTTGTGGTGTTGGGTGTATTATTTTATTGATTTTTATTTTCTTCAAGTGTGTATACAGTGATTTAATAAAAATTTATGAAAGATTTATTATTATTACTGTATCCTCCCATGTTTTGGAACTACCTTTGATTGGTTGTTCCTTTTTGTTAATTTTCCATAAACTTATCAGGATTATGCCCTGAGGGGGATCCGCAAGTGTGTCCCTTCCGTCATGACACTCCGGGCACTTAGCCAGGATTGCCTCCCTTTAACAACCTTGTGTTCTTTTTCTTTAAATGGTTTTGATTGTAGTAACCCTTTCTGTGGTGGTCCACACCACCAAGTCCAAAAAAATTATAGTAAAAAAAAAACTCTGCTCAGTTGCAGTGCTTAAAAGGTTATGCACACGTTAAAGCCCTGCACAGAATGACCGCTTAGACAACATGTGGTTTAACTCACACTCCGTGCATTTCTCCTTCAAGGTAGAGACCCCGTAGTGTATAACAACAAAGCTTTATATTTCTAATAGGTATACAATTAAAAATACAAAAATACATTATGTTCCTTTCTGAAATGTGTCCTTATACATCCTTGTGCCAATCCACTGTGCACAGTTTCATAGCACACACCGACTCTAGGCACCATGACCACTTCAAATCACTAAAGTTGTCATGGTGATTGGAGTAACCCTTTAAAAGCAACCCTTCTTTTTACTTCATTAAATGTGTTTTTGTCAATCTGTTATATTTGAAATGTAAACATATGGTGAAAGATTATAGCTCACATAAAATATCATCAAAAGAAATGTATAAAACATGAAACCATTTATTGATGGATTACAGCAGGAACTTCAAATGAAACATTTTTTTCAAGATAACAAGATGATGTATGAACTAAAACTTATCATACTCTAAATATAATTATTTAAAGTTCTGCTCTGTTTTTGTCAGGAGTTCCATTGCGATAGTAAATTAACCTGACACTGCCCTGTAAACACACTAATAAAATGTGCAGGGCTTCTGTAGATTGTGGGTAGGCAATCTGCACTTCTACTTTGACTATATCTCAAGTCAAACTACAGTGCATGCATCATAGGAATTGTAGTCCACAGCAAATGTGACAGTAGACTGTCTATTCTTGTAGCTCAAAGTATAATCCCCTTTTCTCTCTGGGTACACAAATTATCACTGGCATGAGCTTCAACTATACATTCAGTATGGGAAGACTTGAGCAAAACAGTAAATGCTTCTGAATTAAAAAATACAACTTTTGAAAAGTACAGCAATCTTTCCCAAAGGAACAAATCTATCATTTAAACACATTATTATATTATTTTTTTCAATATGATGATTCAGCAGTGAAGAGATACCAGTATAAGTCTTTAATACTATGGAAATCAGTTCAAAGTCTCATAGTGATATTTTATGCTTCAATTTGACAATAGTGTTTGCCAAAATGGCAAGTAATTGCATACTAGGACGATGTTACCTACTGATCTTGTTGTTTTTGAATAGGGGTGCTCAAACGATAGGTCCCCAGATGTTTTACAACTACAACTTCCATGATGCTTTATCATTCTAAAGGCATAAAAAGCATCATGGGAGTTGTAGTTCTACAACATCTGGGGATCTACATTTTGGGCACCCCTGTTTTAGATAATATATACCTTCTTATGAATACATTTGCTGAAATTTAACTGTTTAACAGAAAGGATCATCAACGCATTCCCTTTCTAAATAGTGTTTTTTTTTTTTTTAATTAAGTATATTCTACAAACATAAAGGAAATGAATTGACCTGTACGTCCAGAAGTATAAAGTAGCAACATGCAAGAGCCAGCCACTCCAGTTTGGACAAGGAATACACTATAAAAGATCCAATATTGATTTCCCCTTACGGCTGCATACAGCTTTTGCTATTAAGGCAAATATAGAAATCTAACAAACAAAGATTTATGTTATTACTCTTTTACTGCACAAACAAACTGCAATGGTTCTGTCAAAACAAAGAATAAATACACAACAGCTGTGAGGAGGTAATCCAGGAGATAATAGATAACTAGCAGGTAGCTACCCAACTGGCTCTCATTATCCATGCTCAGAAAGTATTTGGAACGGTCTGCTGATTGCCCTTACATTAGTTGGATTGTGTGCAATAACTGTTCTCCTATAAATTAGGGGTGCCACAGATCTTGACAAACAACTCCCATGATAAACATTGCAATTCTAAAACATTTGCTATGAAAGCGAACAGTAACTGGTTGCAATAGTGTGTGGAGGAATTGTATTAAATTTCTAAAGATGCACATGGTATATTGGGGAGATATATTAATTTACCCTTCAGCCATGTATTCAATTATTGCTAAGAACAAAGCAAGAACTGCACTGTTCCAAAGGCACAACCTGAGTGCATCCGGACCAGGGGTCAGCACCCAGCCCATCAATGTATTTTGTGATCACAGGAAAAAAGCACCCAAGCACTCCAAGGTTAAATAAAGGCAATTTGATTGGACCCAAGTGTCCAGCAACGTTTCGACCTAAGAAGGTCTTTTTCAAGCTTTTTAGGTCAAAACGTTGCTGGACACTTGGGTCCAATAAAATTGCCTTTATTTAACCTTGGAGTGCTTGGATCCGTTTTCCTGTGATTACAAATGTATTCAATTATTGACTGAATTTGTTATTATACTCTGCAATGTCATGAAACCAATCTGCTTCAGAACATCTATGTGACATTATAGATCAGTGGGAACTGTGTCCTATACAGTTGGCTTGGGTTTTGTGTTAGAGTGGATTTATTTTATTTTTTTACATTTTTTTTTTAGTATTTTCCCTTACAACAATTTCGCTTTAACCTCTGTCAATATGCTATGCGTTTTCCCTAATTTGTTGTATTTTCAAGTTATTTTTGTGTAAATGTAAAGAATATTTAAGCTTATGGGCTTCACTTCCTAAGGCAAAAAAGTTGTTTTACTTTATAGCGTCCTTCAGTGATGACTGACTTAGATTACAAAGTAGGGCAGATAATAAACATTTTGGTTATCAAATAAGGAAAAAAAGGCAATCAGGTGTGAAATAGTCTCTACATTTACACAAAATAATAATATATTGCACACATTTTAAAACACCACATATAATAGTGCCAAAAAACCCCCATTAGGATCCACATTAAAGTGAAAATAATCAGTGATTGTTAGAAAAAGAACTCTTGATTTGTTAACATATTAAAGAAACATGTATCATAACGTACACAAAAACATGAATATTATTTCTGGTGAATAGATGCCTGTTTTTCAGTCTTTTCCATTATCGTATAATTATTTTGTGCAATATCTATCCATTCAGGTTTTCCACAGTATTTTTAAGACACAGCGAAGTAGTGTATGCAAACTAGACAAAAAATGGTTTCACAAAATGAAAGCAAGGAAAGTAAAGGGTAATAATTGTCATTTTCAGAGCAAATGACACTCTGATTCATAAGAACACATTATAAGTCAGAAAGTTTCATTGTTCCATCCCGTTAGTTGAATAGTGGCCGACAGTGTACTTTGAGGATTAAGGCCTTGTGTGAAACAAGCAGTCAAGAGAACTACTTAGTTTGCTTCTTCTTCATTCTCTTCACCCTCTACACCTTCAAATAGCCTGCAAACAAAGAAACAAAGATATTAGGAAATGCTGATGACATCTGTTAAATGTGACCCACTTGAAATAAATCTTCCTTTACTATCTAAGCTGTGAAAGTCACCCACAGTTGAATACCATTAAAGCACAACTGTCACTGTTGCTTATTGGAAATTGAATGTTTATTACATTTAACCCCTTAAGGACACATGACATGTGTGACATGTCATGATTCCCTTTTTTTTTTTTTTTTCAGACGTTTGGTCCTTAAGGGGTTAAAGAAACTGAATCTGTTAAATTTTTATCTGGCTGAGCAGCCACGTTGATTCAGATTCTACTGTTTTATCTGACTGAATGTTGCGCAACCTAACTTTCTTGTTGCTGCAGGTTTACACAAAACAATCACTGCATCAGACAGCCCTGTCTGTGTGTATCTGCCTGCTCTTTTCCATGCAGCCCCATGTCATACATTAAAATGACATTAACATGATCTGTTATTATGCAGTCTGTTACATAACCCTTGGATACACTGGGAACACATTGTGAGAGCAGACAGCCATCCGTGTAGCACTGCTCTTACGCTCTGTGTAATCCGAGCATTTTCACTGTCAGAGCCTTTATCATCTCTCTGCTCCTGTCATTTGTATAAAATGAACTTGTATAAACTTACTTGCTCTGTCACCTTCTGTCACCTTGTGCGGTGCCAAAATATACTTACCTGATTCGCCAGGAGCTCACGCTCTTGTGTTAGAGTACAGCAATGATGTCTACGGAGGATCCTGCAAGATTGTGGATGCCTCCACAGATATTGTCTGACGATGAGCAAGACAATACCCTTTTCCCCACAGCCATCACTCGGGCGAGGGAAGTGACAAAACCTGTCAAGAGGAGGAAAGTAGTCCCTACTTTGCCTTAAGGAACATAATAGCTCTAGGAATACAAATTTGGATTCCTCACGCTATAGTATCCTGTTGGCTGTTTTGGCCCGTGACCCCACCAGAATAAAAAGGTAATTTACTTACCTCGTCTTTTTCGCAGGGCCTATCTCCACAGTTGATAATTTAAGCTAATCCAATTCTTTCCCATAGGAAAACATTGAAAGGCTATCGTGCACTCATACCAAAACGCCACTCTGAGGCCATTTAAATTTCATTTGGCTATTTCATTGTGGCTCTAGTGACTGCCTGACAGACAGCCGATAGAGATATTTAAGTTCGGAAATGAGAACAATGCTGTTCTGCAAAATGTGGGGGTGGTGGCATGGCACCCACACCACTTCATGGAAATAAAATGGTCTGAGTACCTATTGTGCCTCTTTATGTATTTTAGAAGAAGAAGAGAATAGATTACGAGTGAAGAAAAATAAATAAATTGGAGAAAGATAAGTGACAAAGCCCCTTTAAATGTAATAAACTTTGAGCAGAAGGAGAAGTGAAATTTTGATGACAGTTGTCCTTTAATATTATATACTACATGAAAGGAAATGTGTGCTCTGAATAAGAGGTTATAATTCTGCAGCTTTTGCAAAAAGACAGCAGACACGAAAGAGAGATATTTTGAACGGATTATATAGTTATCAACTAATAACTCTGAATTCTCCAAAACTACAGTACAGTTTGAAAAGCAAACAGTATGGCATTTTATGCAGGAACATTTATGATAACCTCTATGGTAACAGGCTTACTTTAAATAATCCATTTATACTGACCTTACCATACAATACATTAAAGGGACACTACAAGCCCCTAAAGCACTTTAGCTTGCTTTATGTTTGAAGGGTTTGTCCTATTTTTTCATTTTGGAATAAGTGTAGTTTTCAATAGAAATGTACACTTTTTTTAAATTTACCTGGTTACAAGGAAACAACAGGTCCTGTTACTTCCTGGTTTGGTTAGCTTATTTGCACTGAACTGAAGAGGCAGCAATTGCCCAGAGCACCTGTCTTGCAAAGACTTCTCACATTGGGAAATGTGTGATTGGACAGTCAGGGCAGAGTTACAATAGGAAGGCTTGCAAAGGCAGCAGATAAGATATCTGCAGTTTTAGATAGAACTCCAATGGAAAAAAGCATAATTAAATACATGCAAGTTTTCAGTTGGGTATATATACTAAACAGTAATTTTTATTTATTTTTTATTTAGGCAGTGTCCCTTTATTATATTGAAGATCTCACCCTATCACTGGCCCCCATTAAAGGCAAATGTGCAACATTTTTTAACCTTTACTTGTGATGGGTGGCTAATGATAATTTGAGACAGCTGGCATTCTCTGGTTATCACTGCTCTTCGCTATTCAAGCGAATGTGTTTGTATTAGCCAAAGCAGCAAAGAGGAGGCAGTGGATCAGAGCCTAGTGGATGGGTGTCTGGGGACATTACTACTGTTATACACTATACTGTACAGGGTACTCCAGGTACCATAATCACTTCATTGAGATGAAGTTTTTGCTGGTGCCCAGAGTCCTTTAATGCATTAAAGGGACACTCCAGGCACCCAGACCACTTCTGCCCATTGGAGTGGTCTGGGTGCCAACTGCCATCACCCTTAACTCTGCAAGTGTAATTATTGCAGTTTTTAGTCCCTGAGGATTCTCTTTTTCAGCTGGGGCCCATAGATAGAGGCCCCCGATTGACAAACACTCCGACTGATAAACAAGCTATGTGCAGCGTTCAAAGTGAATGCAATCTCCCTCAGCCGTGGTATTTCTGTCTCTTCCCCAAGCCAGCAGGTTTAAAAAACAAACAATAAATTTAAAAAAGGCACCCCAGTCATCTTTCAATACCTGATGGTTCTGTCTGTCAGGTCAGTTAGTGGCCCCAGACTAATAAAAGTGCTATGTACCGCACTCAAAGTTAGCAAGGTGGAAAGCCCTTTGAATTTATTTAAATACCAAGGCTGAGTGGTTAAATTTAAAAGTGACATTGTCCCGCCCCAGTGTCATGTTATTGCTTGGTATTATTGTCCTTTCCTGATATCACATGCAAAACATACAAGTTGTGGTCTTCAAACAAGCTCACAAATTATTTGGCAAAATCAATTCTTATCATAAAAACATGGGTTTATCACATTTTGGCTAAAAATGAACGCTACACATACCGACTGAAGCAGCCTGATGTGGAATCATTGAAATGAGTGTACGGTTTATCTTTTGTCAATATGGTCATACATAGCCAGCAGAAATATTGTTTACAACCAGTGCACACCATCTTGTTGCAGCCGTACATTTTCTGTAAGAGCAAACAAGCAAAGTTTAGAATCACAGGGAAAAACAAATAGATGGATAAACCAAAACAAAAATTGCATTAAAAGGAACACTCCAGACATCATAACCATGATAGCTTGCTGTACTGGTTATGGGGCCACGAGTGCCCCGGCGACCTCCTTTGTACGGGTTCAAACTATTTTTGACCGATTTGACTTTTTTACTTGAGGTCCACAGGGCACTATGCTTTGCCCCAAGTACCATTTCCCAAAAACCAGAAGTTATGCGATCAGTGGACACTCTCGGCCAATGAGCTATGGCCTGCAACATAACGTAAGTTCCTGTTGAGGAATCTCTGGCTTTTGGAACATGGTGGTGGAGGCAGGGTGCAGCACCCAACAAACCTCATGTAAGCATTCAAAAACAGTTTAACTCCTTATGAGATGCCAGGAAACGCTTGGCAAGCTAACCACAACAGCAAGCTACAATTGTTATAGACCTGGAGTTTTCCTTTAATTAGAATATATGATCCTACACAGACAACTTTTTCTAAACACATGGGTTCTCCTGGGTTAGTACAGGAGAGGGTGCAACGAACCTTGCATAGAATGCAGTTGTTGTTTAGTACATTGTTATTGTTGAACATTTTTTTCATATAATCCATATTAGAATCCATGGGACTCAAAAGTAAAATGCAACCTATGTTGTTGTTGTTGTTTTATCAACTTCAGGATTATGGTGGTACAGGCATTAAAAAAGGGAATTTGCCTAAATGTCATTCTAAATTTGATTTTCAGACATTTCTCAATCCTTGGATCAGTGCCTTTTGCAGATAGCACTATCCAATCCAGTGACTGAGTTTAAATCTCTATCTAGGGGCTTGCACCCAACAACACTCTAGTTTGTTTTGCATTGCAGGGAATACCGGATGCTTCCAAGAATTACCTTGTAAGTACTGTCCCTTACCCCTCTCTCCTCATCACATACATGTGAGTGTTTGTGTGTGGGGAATAATTAATGAAAAGAAATTCCCCCACAACCTTGCTGATATCCTCAGAAGTGATGATCTCAGCCAATCCCACAGGAATACATTGGATTGGCTGAGATTGTCAATTCTGATGATCTCAGTCAAGGAGGCAGAGTGGGGGAGCAGAGCCAAACACCGCCCTGGCCAATCAGCATCTCCGCATAGTGATACATTGAATAAACGCATCTCTATGAGGAAAGGTCAGTGTCATCATGCAGAGGGTGGAGACATTAAACGCCAGGAAGCACCTCTACTAGCCATCTGAAGAGTGGCCCTAGGCTGTAATGTGAACACTGCTTTTTCTCTAAAAAGACAGTGTTTACTGCAAAAAGCCTGCAGAGATTGACTACATTCACCAGAACATCTACAATACACTGTAATTGTTCTGGTGACTACAGTGTCCCTTTAAATTACTATGGAATGAACACATAGCAAAAGTGCCCAAAAGGCATTGTTAATGAACACAGAAGAACACAGAAAAACACTGGCCATGAAGGTGTAAAAACTTGAAGATACTATCTCAGTGAGTTGTGCATCTAAATGCAAGTTTCCTTTTATGAATACTAATTGACAGCTTAAGATTATCCCACCCACCCTGCAAAAGGCAGGCTTATATGACTTTCCTGTATAGGAGTTTCACAGCGGGGACAATACTTGGAATTTTTATCCAGCCAATCTTTGCTCTCCATCTCAGCCAATGCATTGTGCAACACTTTCTTCCCATACTGCAACTCCAGAAACTTCTTTGTGGCCTCATCTGCTTCTTGATATTCTAAACACAACTCAAGGAGTTTTGCTGAAACAAGTAAAAAGAATTCAAAAAATACATTTAAATGTGTTTAAAACTGCATGCGTACCAACATGCAGATTATACCATCAGACTTTAATGTATCAGAATGTGTTTAAGATAGTATGTATTTGACCACTAAATAATTAATGAAAATATTATGGAGCCTGGAATAGCCTGCTATTACTGCTGTCCGGTGGAAAACAGGCAAGCTGTATACAAGTACTAACACTTATCTGGCTCTGTTGTAAGTTAAATCTTCAGCATTAATATACATAGTTTGGAAATTATTCATTGGCTAAAAGCTAATCTCAAAATATAGATGATTAATTTGTTCTAATCAGTAATAAGTGAAGATTTTACATTTACAATGCCTTCAACACTTTGAGAACCAGTTAAAACTTTCTATCAGCACAATGGCATTAATAAGAACACAAAAGATCTGATTCATAATTTACTTACCTGCTGTTACTTTACATGGGGAGATTCCATGGTAGGTCATTTTACAGAGAGTGCAGAAGGCATAATGGCAACAGGGGCAAATACCCATAGTGCTCTCTGGTTCCTGCATGACTGGTGCCCGACAACTTGGACGAGGACAGTACACAACATCTGGCATGAGATCCAAGCTGGACTGCAGGAGGAGACGGTCATAACGGCTGAACAACTCTTCTTCTACCAGTTCCTTTACCTACACGCAAAGAGGCAGAGGTGATTACTTCCATTATTCTATCTACGTATAAAATAAATAATCTAAACAATGACAATTCTATATCACATTTTCAGAGCGCTCTAACAAAATGCATATAACATGAAGACATGAGGCTTTCTAGTATCTGTGGGCCAACACAAGCCAAATACCAAATTCAAGCACAGCACAAAGGAACATAACTGTGGTATATGGTATATTAAGAAAACTTTGGGGGTTACCTGAGCAGGTGTAGCTGTGGAGGAGCACTCTGGTTCTGGACAGTTCAGAGAGTGGACTTGGCCATCTTTGATTTGAATTTCGAAGTAATCTTTGAGGCAAATGTTGCAGTAGACATGATTGCAAAGTTTAAAATTTGTGCACTCACTACCCAGCTTCTCTGAGAAACAGATATTGCACATGTACAACTTGCCATCAAAGCATTTCTTTTGCTGAGACTCGTTGAATTCCAAGATGTATTTCATCAGGGCAGAAACAGACTCCGCATCCTGTATGGCCCTTTTGTCACAGACCCCATCCTCTTGTGATTCTGCATTGCTGCAGCGATCGGTTTCCCCTGGGGGAAGCCCATTCTGAGACACATTGGGACACACTTCAATCTCATAGGGTGATTGGATGCTTAAGTATTCAAGTGTCTCCTCCTTTAGAAATTGAGTCCAAGCAAACAAGACAACACATCCTGCATTCTCCTTCCAGAGTTCATCTAAGTGCTGGCAAAGTCTAACAAGCTGAAACAAGTAAAACAATTAACCAATCAGAAAATCTCTGAGGCACACTGGAAGATAAGTTCCAAAACAGCTGATAAGTAGCATTTCTGATGCATCTTGGGACATTGCATTGACAGCTTATGATCTGAAAAAAGTATTTCACAGATCTTCACTATGACCAACTACTTACGGGGTGATGAAATTAATATTATATTTAGAACTTGTAAATAAATCTAATTAACCTGCTTGGGTGTGAGCCACTTGCAGCTGAGTGTGAAGTTCGGAGGCGAGGTTGATGGGTAATCGGAAGGAAATTCAAAACTCAGCACAATTGGTGGTAGGTAGGAAAGTGTGTCCTTAAAGTCCTCAATGAAGATGTTTTCTGCAGCGTTACCTGGAGAAATGACAAAAGGTAAACTTGGACAGAGACTAAATACTTGTTCCTGCACCTCAAGGAGTCCTATTTACTAATCTTGGGATAGTACTAGTACTGAGATGGTTAACTAAAACTCTGGGGGCCGTTTGCAAAACACCAAGTGTAATGATATGAAAACCAATCTGCATACATTATACCAAAATAGAAACATAGAATGTGACGGCAGATAAGAACCATTTGGCCCATCTAGTCTGCCTAATTTTCTAAATAGTCTCATTAGTACCTGGCCTTATCTTAAGTCTCGGATAGCCTTATAGCTATCCCACGCATGCTTAAACTCCTTCACTAACCTCTACCACTTCAACTGGAAGACTATTCCATGCATCCACTACCCTCTCAGTAAAGTAATACTTCCTGATATTATTTTTAAACCTTTGCCCCTCTAATTTGAGACTATGTCCTCTTGTAGTGGTAGTTTTTCTTCTTTTAAATATAGGCAGGCTTAAATGTCAGTTGCCACAGCTCTGACCATTCTCCTAATTTACCTAAATAATTTGCTATTTGGCTTATCTCTCCAGGAAGATCAACCCTGTTACATATCTTGGTATCATCAGCAAAAAGACATACCTTACCACAGGGCTCGACAAATCCCAGGTGCCAGAACGCCATGACGACTAGAAATTTTGCCCTGGCGTCTGGGATTTGCAAGCTTTAGTTAGTGTGGGAGGGAGCTTTGACGCCACCCGCGGGTACATGGACCGGCCGCCCGCCAGCGAGGTACATGGAGGATGCCACCCGCCTGCCCGCGAGTACATGGAAGATGCCGCCCGCCCGCGGGTACATGGAGGTGGCCGTCCGCAGAAGCACTGTGTGCGGGCGCCGCCTGCGGGAGCATTATGGGTAGCACGCGAGGGAGTAGTACTCTGCTCCCTCGCGTTGTGTAATGATGTCGGGAGCGGGAATATGACGTCATTCCGGCCCCGGCATCACTACAGAGCGCGAGGGAGCAAAGAGGAGCTACAGGCAGAGTACTGCTCCCTCGCATACAGTTAGAGTGCAGCCCTACTGGACCCCAGGAAAGACTCACTCAGCTCTCCCAAAGGTAGGGAGGCTGAGTGGGTTTCAATTCAAACAAAAATGTGTGTGTGTGTGTGTGTGTGTGTGTGTAAGCCTGTGTGAGTCTGTCAAGAGTGTCTGTGTGTGAGCCTGTCAGACTGTGTGTGTTTGTGAGAGAGCCTGTCAGACTGTGTGTGTTTGTGAGAGAGCCTGTCAGACTGCGTGTTCGTGAGAGAGCCTGTCAGACTGTGTGCGTTTGTGAGAGAGCCTGTCAGACTGTGTGCGTTTGTGAGAGAGCCTGTCAGACTGTGTGCGTTTGTGAGAGAGCCTGTCAGACTGTGTGTGTTTGTGAGAGAGCCTGTAAGTGTGTGTGCGTGCGCCTGTCAAGAGTGTGTGTGTGCTGTCAGAGTGAGCGAGCCTGTCAGAGTGTGTGTGTGAGAGAGCTTGTCAGTATCTGTAAGTGTGTGTGAGAGAGAGTCTGTCAGAGTGTCTGTATGTGTGTGTGTGAGAGCCTGTCAAGAGTGTGTATGAGCGCCTGTCAGAGTGTGTGCGTGCAAGCCTGTTGTCAGCATGAATGTGTATGTGAGCCTGTCAGAGTGTGTGTGTGTGTGTGTGAGAGCCAGTCAGTGTGTGCGTGCGCATTTAGGTACCTGCCCCCTCCGATCGCTTGAGGAAGGTGTTTTTTACTCACCTTTCTTCCCATTTTCCCATGCCGTGACAGTTTTGCCATGGCTGAGATGATCAATCTTTATGATCTCAGCTAAGGCAGTGCTTTCCCTTCGGAAAGCATTGGTAGGATTTTGTGCATGCGCAGCAAATGTACCAATCCACATCTCCTCATAGAGATGCATTACATGAACCAATCTATATGAGGAACATTCAGCAGAGCTTGGAGACACTGACCCAGGACTCTCTAGTGACAGTCTGAGTGACAGTCATTAGAGGTGTTAGTAAGCAGCAATGTAAACTCTGCCTTTTTACAGAAAATGCAGTGTTTACACTGAAACGCCTGCAGGGACAGGCTATAGACATCAGAACAACTACATCAAGCTGTAGTGGTTCTGGTGATTATAGTGTCCCTTTAAGAATTGCACTTTCTCGTTGAAAATGACTGGCTCCTAACTTTTTTAGCTGGCTCCTATATTCTAAACAAATGTGTCAAGCTCTGCCTTACCATCAAGACCTTCTGCAATATCATTAATACAAATATTAAAGAGAATGGGTCCAAGTACAGATCCCTGAGGTACCCCACTGGTAACAAGACCATGCTTCAAATATATTTCATTAACTACAACCCTCTGTTGCCTGCCATTCAGCCACTGCCTAACCCATTTAACAATATTGCAATCCAAACTTAAAGATTGCAGTTTATTAATAAGCCTTCTATGTGCCACAGTGTCAAAAGCCTTACTGAAATCTAGGTAAGCAATGTCTATTCCACCACCCTGATCTATTATTTTAATTACCCAATCAAAAAATCAATTAGATAAGTTTGGCATAACCTCCCTGAAGTAAACCCATGTTGTCTCTGATCTTGAAATCCATGTGATTTTAGATGTTCAACAATCCTATCCTTTAACATGGTTTCCATTACTTTCCCCACTACTGAAGTAAGGATTACTGGCCTAAGGTTGCCTGACTCCTCCCTGCTACCTGTCTTGTGAATGGGCACAACATTCGCTTACTTCCAATCGAACTTTCCAATCTTCTGGGTCTACTCCTGTTAACAATGATTGGTTAAATAAGTCCGCTAATGGTTTTACTAGTACACCACTAAGCTTGTTTAATAACTTTGGGTGTATTCTATCTGGCCCCATCAACTTATTTGTCTTTACTTTTGACATTTGAAATAGAACCTCTTCCTCTGTAAACTCACATGTAACAAATTACTTATTTGTCCTCTTTCCTAACTGTGGCCCCTTTCCTTCATTTTCATCTGTAAATACTAAACAAAAATATTAATCGAGGCAGTCAGCTAGATCTTTTTCTACATACCTCTTTAACATATCTATTAACATAGGTTAATATGTATGCCTACAGTCACTAGCTATTGTATCCAAAATTTTGTAATTTGAATTTAAATAATATAACTTTTGTTAGGTGGAAAAAAAACAGGCACTAATCTTCAAGTTTTACACGAAGACATTTTTAATGTTATTTTTATTTCTAAAGCATACATAATACTGTGGTAGGTGAAGCCTTGTACATTGAGAAGAAAAGAGAATAATGTTGGCGTGCAAGCAAAGACGGATTAAGAGACCATTGGGCCTGGTGCTGACAACTATGATGGCCTCATTAAAGAATCTTAGTGACAAAAAACAAAAAAACAAAAAAAAACACCTAAAACAGTCATGCAGGTGGTGCAGGAGGGAAACTCACAAGATGCATTTATAAACATACATATACCCTATGCTAATATCTTGCATGCATCTCTCAACCAAATCCATACTACCCCCAGCATCGGCGTCCTATGGAGCAGGACACCGGTGGGCGGGATAAAAGAAGGCTGGCCATTAATGTAAATCACTAGCACTTCCCAAAAGGCCGGACCCACGCAGAAAAAGGGAGCAGGTCCGTCTGAAGAATTGTAAGGTCAGTCTGGTGTGAATGCGTGCCAGGTTGCCGGCCAGCTAAGGGTGGACTAGGCAGACGGCACTGTTTAAGAACCATGAGCTTGCCACAAACACATCCTATGAAGCGCTTGCTCTATGCTTTCTGGGGACAGTTGTGTGATGTCCCCCAGCACTCACTTGTCCATTTCTCTCCTTCCTTTCTTACTAGCAGGCAGAAGCTTCTGATATATAGCCAAAGGAAAAGTAAGGTGAATGAATGTAGAAATAAGGGGACATGCCACACCGTTAGAGACATTTGCACATTGAGCAAAGTCAGCTTTATCTTAACTATTTATGGTCAGTCATTCCACACAAGTTTTAATATTTTTTTTTTAAATCAATGGGTCTACCCCATGGGCATGGGCCTGGAGCTTCGGTTCCATTAGCTCCTACATCAATCCCTCGATAGCGAGCCTGAACAAATCAAAACAGCAGTCTCAGTCAGGAAGTGCACAATATAAAGGCAATGTGGACAAAGTAATGTTTGATGGGGAGCACAACGTATTAAACAACACAAAAAAATAATAAATTACAAAACAGAGGCAGCCTACACAGATTACACACATGGGTCACAGGTAGGTTAGAAGAACCAAAGCTCAGTAATGTCAGAGCAGTGATGGGTGTCAACACATCTCAGGTCATGTAAAAGCAGATGCCTCACTCAAATAGTATAATATGCATGGCCAGAAGATGTATGTATTTTCTCCATTCATGGCTGCATTTAATAAGTGGGGGATATGGGACTGTCTATATTTATTTACAGAGTGAAAGTTAATGTAAAATATTATTGAGGTAGGTATGTGAATAATCATTCCCACTTTTCCTGGGAGATCTTGGCATCTAGTTGTCTCGTCCACAATTGTGTAAATACCAGTACAGGACAGTGTTGGCATTGTGAATCAAGCCGTAGAATGCCGAAATGTGACAACCAACTAATTTTGGAGAGGAACACAAGTTTTTACATTTTGTTTCCTTTAAAAGCGCCATGGGCTTAGGAATTATGTAATCTTTATGAAAACCTCAAAAAGACTTCATTGGTATTTCAATTAAATTTATCTTGCAATTTATGCGGCCCTAACCGCACATCCCTTGGAGACTCACACAGCCACCCTATAAACTTCCTGAAATAAAAAAATAAAAACAAACTAACTTTCATTGTAGGTTCACCTATTGCACAGTGTGTTTCATTTGGGATTTCTCATATCCAGCTCTGATAACATACTAGAGCCTGCAACAGTCATCAGTGTACGGTTAAAGTCCAATTCACTGAGCATTAGATAAGAATGTCTTAGTAAACAAGAAATAAAATTACCATCTAAAGGGTTCTATTTGGCCAGCTCTGTCTGCACAATACCCTTACAATATTTATTCTCTCTCTTTAACCCCTTAAGGACACATGACATGTGTGACATGTCATGATTCCCTTTTATTCCAGAAGTTTGGTCCTTAAAGGGTTAATAAATGCATTTGGGTTCAGGCAATATAATGGTAAAATCAGGCATTGCTATATCTCAGTTGATGGATAACCTAAAAAAAATCTTAAATTCTTATATATTTGAATATAGATCAGTGAAAGCATGTTTATATTGGTGCACACAATGCACCCCCATGGGGGTGCATTTGTACACACAGCACTTTCACACTCTCCAATCAGAGGATGAAGATGTCTCCCGCAATGGAACTGAGTAACTGAAACAGTTTTACCGAATGGGGCAAAACCATCCGGCTACGTACAGGGCCACTTGGAATGCAAAATCTGAAATTTAAAACGATAGGGGGAGTTGGTCTGGTTCTTCCCCCATGCCTCACCCAATGGGCATAAATAATGGGTGTGTATAGATCAATGTCTATCCCTCCCCCAAATTGTCCCTTCCCTTCTGCGACTATGGGACCACATGTCCCTGGCCATCTTCCATTTAAATAAAAGGTACCTTATTTAACCTTCTCACCCATCAGACGTCTTCTTTCCTTTTCATGTTAAATAGATAAAGGGAATCAACACCGTAAAGGAGGAGACTATATTTAAAGAAGAAAAACTACCACAACAAGAGGACATAGTCTTAAATTATAGGGGCAAATGTTTAAAACTAATTTGGTATTACTTTACAGAAAGGGTAGTGGATGCATGGAATAGCCTTCCAGCTGAAGTGGTAGAGCTTAACACAGTGAGGGAGTTTAAGCATGTGTGGGATAGACATAACGCTATCCTAACTATAAGATAAGGCCAGGGACTAATGAAAGTATTTAGAAAATTGGGCAGACTAGATGTGCCAAAGGTTACCTGCCGTCACATTCTATGTTTAAATATTTGTTTCTTCAGTCCCCAAAAACCACAAAAAAAACATAATATCCAGACATTATCAATGAAAATAAGAAAAAATGAAGAAAAGATGCAATGCAACAAACAAAATATTCCATGACAGCACCACAAGGAATACGATTTCAAATATAGTAAAGGTTTTTAGATGATTTTAAATCTTAGTAGTGGTCTGACCACTGGCTTCTAAACCAATCAGAGTGCTCTGGCAAGCAAATATCATATTCCCTATGTTTTCTCCAAGCCAATGTATATCAAGTAACCATTCAATTCAATTATATTTTTCCACTCTATATGTATAGGGTAACCCACACATGTCTTCATGTTCAAGAGGCTCTGTACATTAGTAAAGACAAACACTCACTTTTGATAGATATTTCAAAGTTAGATGGTAACTCGAGGCACACTTGGATTTTCCCTCCGTTTGAAGTTTCTGCTCGCCGGAATTCATCTTTGGGGAAAATACTAGCGAGAGCTAGTAATTCATCCTCCTGTGCTTCCTGGTCTTCGCTTGACATTGATTAGCTTTACAGATTAGGAGAATAAAACAACATAGTATTCTGATAGTGTTCTAAATGTACATAATAGGTTAAGATTGAGGATAAGCTTAACATTTCTGAAAGTGGACAGGTTCACTCTGAGTGAAGTAGTGCAATGGTAAATAATGTTATTCACTTAACTAAATTAAGAGCACATTTATTTTCAAAAGGCTCTCCAGGGTAATCAAAATCTTTAAAAAACATATCTTTAGAGGGACACTATAGTTACGAGAACAACTACATCTTAATGTAGTTGTTCTGGTGTCTATAGTCAGTGTCTTCAGGCAGTTTCATGTAAACAATGTCTTTTCAAAGAAAAGGCACTGTTTACAGTGCTCCGTAGGGACTCAGACAGCCACTAGAGGTGCTTCCTTGGTCAGTGCTGCATAGTGTGTAGCACTAGCATTTAGTGACTCCACCCTCTGTGAGATACTGAACTTTCCTCATAGAGATGCAATGATTCAATGCACGTCTATGAGGAGATGCTGATTGGCCAGGGCAGCATTTGGCTCTGCTCCCTTCTCCCCCGGCTGAAACCATCAGAATTGACAATCTCTGCCAATCCAATGCTTTCCTATGGGAAAGACTTGGATTGGCTGAGATACTCAATTCTGATGAGGTCAGCCAAGGAGGCGCAACGGATGTGCATGTTTGTATTCCTATCACTGTAGTTCTTTTAAGTACAAATGTAAAAATAAAAGGAGTGTCTAAGAGCTTCAGACAATCCTATTCTTCAAACAGTAATGAGAATAAATGCAAGCATGCATGGGGAGGAATTGCTTACATATTTAAACAGGGGACTATTACTACAGACTAGCAGTGAATTCACAACTGGTTTTGATGGACATGAAAGCGAGATCATTGAAAATGATCTAAAGCAGCGGTTGCCAAAGTGTGGGTCGCAGTGCGGTTCCCAGTAGGTCGCGCTGACCCACACATCCAGGGCTGCCGCAGACTCGGGTGTCAGGCAGACAGACTGATTAGCCGGGCCCTCGGTCCATGACGACACCAATCAGTCTGCCCAGCACCTCCGGTCTGCAGCTCCGCCTGGTGCAGAGCTGCAGACCGTGTGATAAATATCTTACGAGCACCCAGAGCGTTACCATGGCAACACACGGCGAGCTCGCAAGACTTTTATTACATGGTCTTCAGCTCTGCACCCGGCGGAGCTGCAGACTGGAGAGTTAACCCACTGAACCACCGGGGGAAATTAATAAAGGTAGGACACAGCCCCCAGACCCTGCCCCCCCACACTGTAACCCCTTCTCATCCTGCCCCCTCCCCACACTGTTTCTCCTTTACTCCCTGCCCCCCACACTGTAACTCCTCCTCTCTCTGCCCCCCCCACACTGTTACCCCTTCACTCCCTGCCCCCACACTGTAACCCCTTCTCTCCCTGCCCCCCCACTGTAACCCCATCCCTCTATGCCCCTCCCACATGTAAACCTTTCTCTTGCTCCTCTCCCCCCTGTAACCTCTTCACTCCCTGCCCCCTCCCACGCTGTTACTCCTTCGGCTCCCTGCCCCCTCCCACGCTGTAACCCCTTCTCTCCCTGCCCCTCCACTGTAACCCTTTTTCTGCCCCTCCCCCACCCCCTCTCTCTGCCCCCTCATTGTAGCCTCTCCCTGCCCCCCACACAGTAACCCTTTCTCCCCCTGCCCCTCCCCCACTGTAACCCTTTCTCACCATGCCCGCCCACTGTAACCCTTTCTCACCCTGCCCTCACACTGTTACCAGCACACATACTCCCTCCCACACGGTCACCCTCACCTCCTGTCTCTGCGTGTATGTGTATCTGTGTGTATTGTGTCAGCATTTAACTATGTAATGAGTGCCTGTGTATGGGTGTCAATGTGTGTGTCTGTGTGTATCGCTGTGTCAGTGTGTGTATTTGTGTGTCTCTGTCTGTCTCTGTATGTCTATACAATGCACACATACTCCATACAAAAAACATGCTTACATTCAAACACACATTGTGTATATGTATATTTTATATACACAATATACACACACTGCATGCACCAGTGGCGTACATACCGGGGTCACAGTGAGAAGACGCTAGACGTCCATAGGAAAGCATTGAGTAATGCTTTCCTATGGACGGTTTGAATGCATGCATGTTTTTTGTATGGAGTATGTGTGCATTGTATAGACATACAGAGACATACACAGACACACAAATACACACACTGACACATGCATTCGGAGCTGAGAGGCGGTGTCACCTGGCGGGCAGGCTGGCAGGCGCGCGAGGGAGCACTCTCCCCTGAGTGCTTCCTCTTCAGCTCCCTCGTCCGCCCGCCGGGTGACACCACTGGACCCCAGGGAATCCCCTCAGCTCTCCAAAAAGTAGGGAGGCTGGGGGGATTAAATTAAAAAAAAACAAAAAAAGTGTGTGTGTGTGTGTGTGTTAGTGTTAGAGTGTGTCAGTGAGTGTGTTACTGTGTGTGTCTGTTACTGAGTGTGTTAGTTTGTGTGCGTCTGTTAGTGAGTGTGTGTTTTGTGAGTGTGTGTGTCTGTCAGTGAGTGTGTGTGTATGTATGTATGTATGTCTGTCACTGAGTGTATGTGTCTGTTAGCTAGTGTGTATGCGTCTGTTCGTGAGAGTGTGTGTGTGTGTGTCTTAAGCACTTATCTTTCTCCAGCACCGGACTCCCTTGGTGCTGGGGATCTCTCCGCCCCGATCCGCCTCTCAGCTCCGAATGTGCATGCGTGGCAAGAGCCGCGCACGCATTCAAACCGCCCATAGGAAAGCATTACTCAATGCTTTCCTATGGACGTTCAGCGTCTTCTCACTGTGATTTTCACAGTGTGAATCGCAGAAGCTCCTCTAGCGGCTGTCAATGAGACAGCCACTAGAGGCTGGATTAACCCTCAGTGAAACTTTTTTCAGCTGCAGGGTTAAAACTAGAGGGACCTGGCACCCAGACCACTTCATTGAGCTGATTTGATCTGGGTGTCTGTAGTGGTCCTTTAAGTGTATGTGTATCTGCATGCACTGGCGTACATACCGCGGTCGCAGGTATATACAAACACCCCTTCATTCAAACACCAACACTACACACAAAAAACACACCTGCATTTAGACACAAACATTACAAACAAGCACACCACTACATTCCAATGGCAACAGTACATACAAATACACCTATACATGCACACATATACTGAATACAAAAACATGCTTACATTCAAACGCTCAAACACTGCTCACAAATATAACCCTGCAACGATTCGCAAATGGTAGATCCCCAGTTGTTGAGGTTCTCCGACAGATGGAGATTTAGCACACTTGCACTAGAGGGGGGCCCAGAAAACATACTTGCACCAGGGCCCTCTCTACATTAGTTCCACCACTGGGATTATCAACGTGAGTTGCCTGGATGAAAGAGCAAGACACAGCACTTCTGATTCTGACTGAATCTGTGAGTAAGCAGTTGTATGCCTCCAAAACGGATTGCCACGATGTGCAAAGTTTATGCCTCTAAAACTGCCATGACTTGCCTATTTTTTGCATCTAAATCTGATTGCCATGGTGTGCCAACTTTATGTATTTAAAGCTGCCATGATGTTCCAATCGCATGCCTCTAAAACTGACTGCCATGGTGTGCCAATTGTATGCCTCTAAAACTGATTGCTGTGGTGTGCCAATTGTATGTATCTAAAGTGGATTGCCATGGTGTGCCAATTGTATGCATCTAAAGCGGATTGCCATGGTGTGCCAATTTTATGCCTCTAAAAGTAATTGTCATTGTGTGCCAATTCCGTGAGGAAGTCCAGCGTCAGATAACGGACCAAAAGTCAGTTTGGATTCCGGAAGCCCTCTAGTAGCTGTCTGTTTGACAGCCACAGAGGGCAGACTTAGAGCTGCAATGTAAACAATGCAGTTCTCTGTAACTGCAATGGTTAACATTGCAGCACTACGTGCAAAATGGTCACAGCACCTAGACCACTTCAATGAGCTGAAGTGGTCTGGGTGCCTACAGTGTCCCTTTAAGGGGATACTCAACTGAACACATGAGAAATAAAATAAATATCTCAAATCAAATAGTAGAAATAAGGGAGGAAAGAAAAGAACATTCACAGAACATCCAAATAAATTCAGTGGAGGTATGAGTCAATATATTTTTTCCAGCGCTGATAATCTGTTAATTTTACATTTGAAAAAGCAACACAATTTCTGGAATCCAAACATAATTTTGGTCCGTTATCAGACGCTGGACGTCCTCAAGGACCTCCAGCATCAGATTTTCCCCATAGCAAAGCACTGAATAATGCTTTCCTATGGGGAGGTCTAATGTGTGCGCAGGCATTGCCGCGCATGTGCATTAGGTCTCCCCCACCATCTGACATCAGCGGAAGAGAAGCGTGGGACATCGGCGCTGGATTCAGGTAAGTGGCTAAAGGGTCTTAACACCTTCAGCCCCGCGGGAGTGGGCACTCCAGGAGCCTATGCTAGGAAAATGGGTTTGTTTTCCTGGCACTATAGGATCCCTTTAAATCTACTTGAACACTCTGCTGCGAAGGGCTGAACAATTCCACTATTCCACAAGACAAGCCACCAGACAAGAACAATTCTCCATTGTTTTTCAAATAAATATTTTTGTATATTTCAAATAAACAACATTGGGTGTTACACTCCTGGCTATAAGCTTTTATTCTGACTGGTAAATCTTAGCAATAATTTCCACGATTTCCTTTGACTATTCAAACACAAACACGTTCACTTGAATAGTAGCGAACTGAAACGCAAAAATGGAAAATACAGTTTGTGGCCGAAGCTGAGTTGGAAAATGTCTTGAAATCAATTATTTTAGCCTTCATTTTCTCATTCAGATATAAATTTGCGACAATGCAATTTGTATCCCCTAATATATTGTAAGCTACTATGGTGACAAAGTAGGAATGCACCCTATGTTGTTAAAGGAAACTTACGGGTACCAAAACAACTTAATCGGAATGACGTTATTATAAGTCC